AGGTTTAAGTTATTCAATTTTAAAATATTTAATTTCATTGTATTTTGAATTATATAAAATATAGAAGGCTTGTTATACGAGTGCAAATAAACATATATTGCACGATGATGCAACACTAAGAGCCACACGATTATTAACTATCTATAATAATACCCGTTTGTATATTTATTTATTAAATTTTTTAAATCGTTTACTTTTCAAATCTTGGTATTATTATATTTTTCTAGAAGCATGAGAAACATGCAAACATATTTTATAAATTCTTGACACGAAAGCTAACCTGTCTAACAGTACTGTTAATTAAGTATCTTAAAATTGTATAACCTCGTTCAAATCTATCATAAACTCTTGTGGTCCCGTAAGATGTTGCGATCTGCCCATCTCAATCATCATCGCTATTTATTTTCCATTTCCTTACTTGCGATAATATTTCTGTAAGAAAAAAAAAAAAAAAAAAAAAATTAACGAAACACCAGTTAAAAGCAATTCGTTTTATTCATTCATCAAACCGAACGCTTCCTCATTCCAACGCTTTCCACAACCACGTCAAACGCGGCACTCATAATTCACTCATCATATCTCAAACATGTTTGTCCCCGGTCAACAGACCGATTACACACCAGAAGACACTTCCAAGTGAGTTGAACGTTGACTTTTCAATCCCGTCCTAAAGAGGAACTCGCATCTGGGGGGACTGGCTAGATCTCTTCGTTCTTGCATTCGATTACTTACCCGTAGAAAGACTCTTGTTTCTCCTTCCTGAATACCGTCTCCTTCCTGTTCCTGCGCGAAAGCTTCCGCCGTGCGCGAATACGTGACGCGAATTCTCATCTCCTCTTTTATAAGAGGTCCTCCCCCTCTCCCTCCGTTTCACGAAACGTGACTATTGCCCCGCAGAAAATCACCATCGGGATCCACAGCGGGGAGGTCGTGACCGGTGTAATTGGGCATCGTATGCCCCGTTACTGCCTGTTTGGAAACACCGTGAATCTGACCAGCCGAACCGAGACAACAGGGGAGCCCGGCAAAATAAACGTCTCCGAGGACGCGTACAGGTAACAAAGTTACGTTGACTCGCTTAATTTATGATAATTAGAGATTATTCTCGAAGCTCGACCGGAAAAAAAAACAGGATATATAGGAGAAACGAAGGTTGGAGTGCCTCAGTGCCTCGCTTCGAATCGTAAGCGGTTTATTTTGCGCGAGGCAAACTTTTATCGAGAGCTGGCTCGGGATTTGGTTCGTTTGTTTTCTTCTTTTTCTTTTTTTTTTTTTTTTTTTTTTTTTTTTGCTTTTTCAAAAGCGTGGAGGAGGAAGATCCAGGTGGAATTTATCAGGGGTGATTTGTAGAAGTATTTGTAGAAGGATTATATCGAGTTGCTTTTTTTGTAAATTAACATTGTGAATTATGATAAATCGCGGAGTTAATGGAAGTTTAAGTTGGAAAAGTTTTTATCATCCGAGAAAGCGTGGATAGGTATTTGATAACGTGAGAAATAAATATTTTGTAGCGAAGTTGAATGATACAGAGAAATTTGTTTTTTCGATAATTACGATGTTTAGGATAATTTATGTATTAACGTTTATGAACGAGTGGTCAAAGTTTAACTATTCGTGCTATTAGGATCGTTTGAAACAAAGAAATTAAAGAATGTAATAAATAATAAAACGCATTACGTATTAATTAATAAAATTATTCTGGAAATGACATATAATATAATTACTTCAAAGACACGTTTCATTTATAAAGAAATATTCTGACATTTCACTCCATTTTACAAGCAAGCAAATACGCTATAATATAAAACTCAAGATGGCAAAAAATTGTATACATAATGAAAAGATGAGGACGATCATTAGCTTTGCAAGAAAAAAATGCATAGATACGTCAAGCTTATTTTTTTCTGTACGATGCTAATATACATGGAAATGAACTCGATCTTAAAATGCTTTCGACATCTCGATCTATCAACTTTTTCTTTTCTCTCTTTTTCTCTCTTTCTCTCTCTCTCTAGTATACCAATAACACCTTCGGTTTCTCTTTAACAAGCGTCTGAAACACGTTACGTTAAAATCGATGGATCAAAGTATGGAAAAATGTGCTGACTACGTCCATGATTTTTGAAATTTTATGTCATTCTCCATTTTACCTAGAAACATTCTATTTTATATTAAAAAAAAAAAATTAAATTTCATCGATTTCTCGTACACCTACTCGTCCATCCTGAATATCGAGAGCCCGACTCGAATTACATATTGATGGACGGTCGGTAACAATATCCGGCGACATTATCGCGACGATGAATTGTTTAGATGGTAGGTAATTGAATTACGGGAACTCGGGAAAATCTAGACGAGGACATTGTGAATTATCACGGTGGTGGGAAACGTATTCGATACGATTGGTGTAAAATTTAATGCAAAACGCCAATCGAAACAGTTACACGACGTCTGTCAGCTTGTTCCCCCCCGGGTATTTTAAATTATCAATATCATCATATTGTTCGCCGGCGGAATAGTTGGACGATTCGTGAAAACGACTATTACAATACTATAAATCATCGGTCATCAATTTTATTGCTAAATTTTATTGCTAATCCAACGAAACTTAAGCCGAATGATTTATTTTCACCTCGAAACGCTTTAATCCCGGCTAAAACATTCCGCTCAAACTTCGCCGCAATATTTTATAACGATCGTAAACTCCGATGGCATAACACTTAACACAGATAAGCTCCTTATGAAAAATTTAATCCACCGGTAAACCAAACTTAACCACCACATAAGCACAACACTCGCCGCCTCATATTTATACCCGGAACGAAGTTCAAAATTCATAAACGGCGGTTTTTCTTTATATGATGGCCGCGTGATAGAAATAAAATGGCGAACGGACACAGTTTCCCGTAGTTCGGATAGGATTCTCTTCGATTCTCCGGCTTTTAACCTCGGGATATTACATTGTACGTAATTATTCGCGACCTATTGAACCTAACTTTCCTAACGTTTTAAATCTCTGTGTCTCGTGTGTTTAAATTACGGCGGCTATTAAATCCGGGTGAAAACGTTTATCTTATTTGATTGACGTTAAAATTGTTTTCGTGTTTTCGAACGCACGCTCGTATGTATTGAATGAATTTCACTTGTTGGATTTCGTTGTTTCTTCGCCTATTTATTTTTATCAAAATAAATAATAACATTGGAATAAGTTAAAAATTGGAATGGATGAATAATTCAGTTTGTTCAACGAATTTGTGATGTTAGATTCGAAAGTTTGTCGAAGAATTTAAGAAACGTAAAGCAGTTCTACGTATCTTTTATTAGAATTTAAAGTAGATATTATGTACAATCGATACACAATTTCTTTCGATTGCTTTTTCTCTTATATTGGCTACCTTCGTTTCATCGAAATGTTTTTAATGCTTTTTAATGGTTCGATGATTTATATCACGTAATTTGTTCAATCTTAATACGTTTTCTTCCTTGACATTAAAGGAAATTTTTGCGAAAATCGGAATAAATGATGGATGAATCTATCTACGATTTTATGAAATCAATACAAATGGAGGGAAATATTTCAGCTAGGATCCGATTTTTTGTTTCTGTTCTATCGATTCGTGCTTAACGTCTCATTGAAGAATTTATTTTTCTGGCTATTTATTGAGCTGGCCTAAATTCTTCTCTTGAATTACTTATATTTAACTGTTTCCAGATATTTGTTTGAATCCAGCATTTCATTTCTTTGGCAACATTCGTAACAGATAATCCTTTCCCAATACCGTGAAATACTGAACGGAACTTAATATCGTAGGTCAAAAGCGCAACGAATCTTTGAAACGATTTAACAGTATTTACAATCGTTAAATACTACACAAAAAACTAAAAAATGATATAATTTAAAAATAAATGTACAAGTTTGATGTAATAAAATATCCATTTGAAATCAACATTCAGCAAAAATACAATCTAATCAAAATTACAATTGTTAAAAATGATACATATTCTCTAATGAATAGCACAAAGGTATTGAATTACATAATCGTAAAACTAATAATAAAAAAAAAACATCCCTTAACAATATTCAAAATAAAGGAAATGTAAAATATTATTCCTATATAACTTTCAATTCGATAAAAACATTTTTCAATTTACATTTACATTTATTTCTATTTCTGTCCATATTGGTACAATTCGATCGTTTGAATGATTGAACGCTCTGCGCTATCATGAACGTATGTATATATGTATGTTCTATCATAGGTCCAGTATAAAATATCACGTGTAAAATATTACGTGGAAAACTCGATTCACCAGTATCGAAATTTATACGACCACTCTATTATATAGAACTAGTTCGATCAACAAGTTGATAACTGATACACAACAGTTCAAACGTTATCTAAAAGAAATTTAAAGTTATAAACAACTTTACGTTTTAGTATACATTTAGGCTTACATATACTTCGTTTGATTTTATCTTCAAACTTTAAACGTATTCATGGAAACTGTCTATAACTATATATATTATTTTCTTTCTCCAAGTAAATTTATTTCTTAAATTCTTACGCTGTGATTAAATTTTCGTTCTTGAAGAACTTGAAGAAAGTTTCCTTCTTAAAAAAGAATCCTGATTTAATAAAATTTCACGTTACATTAATAAAATTAATATTACTTGAAAGAGATGAAAAAGGAAAATCTAATAAATCACGCATTATAATAATAGCATATATATATAAATAATTTCTATCACGTATCACACAATATCTTAACCGAAATATTTATACACGTACAAATACATTCATCGATCCGAAACATAATAAAAACACGAGCCACTTGACAAACATCTAATCAATTTCCTCGATATTCGAATCGTTAAGTATATATACAATATTCATTTAAGGCCTCCAATTCCACAAATCGTATTTCACGTGATTCTCCTACACCGCCAATATTCCTCCCAAACTTTCACCTTTCGTCTCGATGAAAAAATAAAAAAAATAAAATTCTTTCTCCGCCGAAAAGAATAGGCGAGCTCGATTAGTAATTCAAATCCCTGAAAATTTCTGAATCTCAATCTCGAAGCAGATCCAAATAACTCCTCAACGACTCGGGTATCTGAAGTTGTTGTATCCCGTGCGGCAACGCCCAGTTCTCGAACAGGGCTTCCCTGATTCGGCACCGGCAAAGATGTCTCAATTCAGGGGGGCAAAGGCCGCTCCTCTCGGGCGGCACCAGCTTCTGCTCGACCAAAGTCGGATACTGTTCGTAAACGGAAACGCTGAGCACGCCGCTCTGCTCGGCAATGTATTCAGGCGTCTTCACGAAACCGGTCGTCACGGTTCTCAGCACCAATCTCAGGCAGAGGAGCAAATGTTCCGGATACGCGATCCTCTCCTGGCCCGGCTGGGCGTCGTACTCGCTCAGCTTGGTCAGCAGTATCTCGAGGGGGGTAGGGGCGAGTTTGTCGCATTCGACCGAGGCGCCGTAACGGAGCATGATCAAAAGGATGTCCGGCGAGCCGTGTTGGATGGCCACTCTGAAAGGCGACACCTGGCCGTAAGATTCCATGGGAACGTCGATGAATCTTTGTTTGACGGGGGAACAGGCGCAACGGTACTCCAATTTGCCTAGGGTGGCGTGGCGCAAGAAGTACATGAGGGCGCGAAGGTTCTCCTCGCGGTCCTCGAAGTCGCTCTTCCACCCGGACAGGAAGTGAGTGACACGGGTGCCGAAAATTGCACCCACCAGGATGCGCTCGAACGTCTTCTCGCAGTAGAAGATGTCGTTGAGCAAGCGGGACACGATCTCGTTGTTGTCTAGGTTCCAATCGAAGCAGAGCTTGGCCGCCACGTAAAGAACGTTGTGGAACTTGCCGAGAAGACATACGTATCCGTTTTCCATCATTGCTATGTTGTGATAGCGGAGGGCGGACATCACTATCCTCTCGCAGACGTCTTGCTTGTCTAGGTTTTCAGCTGGAAATTTCGGAAAAATTAATTAGAAAATTTATTTTATTATTGAGAAATAAATCGGTTATTCGTGTTTTTTAAATTCAATCGTGCGAAAGAGGAGAAGTTCGATAGGAGTGAGTCAAGCGTTGTATTGACAAAATAGGTAATTTACCGAAAGAAATTTTATTTCTTAAACGGATTGCCGGTATTAGTTGGTTCTAGGTTAGATTCGCATTATTGTAAATCAGGTTAATACGTGTAAAAGAGGATAGACATTAACCAGGTAACCGGTGAATTACGGTTCGAAAGATGTTCATTATTCCTGTTAATTGATGATCCAAGGATGATCACGTTAGAAAGATAGTTATCGCGGTGAAAGTAACAAGTTTAACGCTTAACGTCAATATTTCACGATCACCGCACAATTTTTCACTTCCTTGGAAACGTAAGTCTTTCTCGTAAGATTTAACCCTCGAAAAACACGCTGCCGATGCTTTCCTAAAATCGTTTAATCCCCGATATAATCATCGATACTTGAGTTAATAAAATTTCTCAAGGATGAAATAAAACAATCGAAATAAAACCTTCTCGATTTTCCATAATCTGCATTAACCTCGCTTTATTTCTATCCAAACAATTATTTCTACTCACCGCAGGAATCATCGAGCGATCGCGACTTGCGAAACCAACCATGTTTTCACGGATAAACGATTCCATCCGCGTCCCTTCAGGTGGTTTGCGTAATTTTTCGAGGAAAGTAAAATCATACGGTGGCACAAGTACGATGCACAAGTTTCTCCCAAGTGTATAACATTACACCAGTATCACTTTCTTTCCGGCATTCCTCGATCGAACCACTTTCATGGTCGCACAATACAGTTTCTAGGAGGTGGTGGACGAACCGAGCGAACTGGTGAATCGGAAACGGTTCGTCCAACCGCGTTGACACGAATAGATTCCCTTCCCCGTTAGGCGTACGGTAAATTCGTAATTTAAAATCGTTCCCTCGGATCGTTCCCAATTTTCTAACCAATTGTCTCGATTCGATGTTTTCTCGATCGGTAATATCCGATCGGAATATATCGGCCGTTCAAACCGTTTTAACAAACCGGTCAGATTTACCTTGCGAACAGCTATTAATCACATCCGAGAAATAGCCGACCATCTCGCGACGTTTGTATCGTGAGGCCAGACAACTTCGATCCATTTCCGAGAACAACCTGTCGAAGTAGCAGTCGATCAACACCTCCATCGCCTCTACTTGATGATTGTAAATCTCGACAATCGACATGTACCGATCTTCTGTCAACCTTCGAGATTTGAAAGCACAACTACGTCGTGACCATTGCACGCTTCTGAATGATGGCCGTTGACGAGGAGTCGCGGAAACGAGAGAGAGAAAGAGAGAGAGAGAGAGACAGAGAGAGGGTTAATTCGATTAGACGTTAAATAAGTATATTCCAAGGGCTTCATCTTCGATCGTGAAGGGTGGGTTCGTGAAACTACCTGTGTAAAAAGTTTCGAACATGTTGTAGATGAACGCTCGTGAACGCTTGGTGTATTGGTAATTAAGGATTTTTTTGAAAATCGGATGAGGTTATGGTAATGCGCTTATGATAATAAATTACGTGACGTGGCTTGAAGTTGGGATAGATGAGCGATAAATTTTCCTCGGATACGTGTGATTATAGTAAATATTTTTAAATTGTTTGGAAAGAGGTACACACCGTCAGCTTTATGATCCTAAGACCGTGTTTAATGGTTTTGTCCCGAATTACAAGAGGGAGAGGGAGGGAGAAGTTGGCTTTTTTTTTATTTTCCACGCGCAATGCGCGTCTGTGGAATAGAAACTATCGGGACAGTTATCGGACGTTTGAAGATTTTAAATGGATGTTAATTTTCTTATTAATTTCTCTTCAATTTATCGCGCTCGTATTGACGTCTTCCTTCACTACGGATATTTATAGTGTAATGATATTCATTCGAGAAAATCTACCTTTTTTTTTTACGAATTCTTAAAAATTCTTAATTCTCTAAAAATTTTTAATATCGTGTAATCACAAAGTTTTATTTTATAATTATATTACAAATTGAGAATACGAAAATTATTATCGATATAAAATTTACGATTATATGATTTAGATCAATTTGTGAATATCAGAGAATAAAGTATTATATTTTATAATGATAATTTTAATTTCGCGCAGCTATATGTATAAAGTTTGCAAATTAATATCGATATAAATTATATAATTGCTACATTCATCAAGGTTTATCTAGATATTTTTCAGATAACGAAATATTGTACTTTATAATAATAATCAATTTCAATTAATTAATCAATAATCAATTTCCATACCAATGAATTTAATATTCATTATCGATTTGTTATATATCATAATGTTATCATTACAGGTACCTGTGCATGCCAGAAAACCAGGATTCTCAATTTCTGCTTGAATACAGAGGACCCGTGACTATGAAAGGCAAATCGGAACCGATGAACGTTTGGTTCCTGTCCAGAGAAAGGGAGCTATCCGCGTAAATTCGCAATCATTATGGCAGCTGCCATTTTAGCAATATTTTTCGGCTCGAACTCTTTATTCGTTTAGCGCGTTCTATAGATTTTTACAATGCTAATATTCCATGTGATCTTTGACTATCGTATGAAATTGTTGAAAATATCTTTGTAAAAGTACGATATTTAATCCTAGGATGACTTCGATTAAGAGAATTATTCGTAGATTCTTCTATTTTTTTTTTGTAATTATTAAAATTTGCTTCTTCTTTAATTTCGAAGGTGTTGGCTATAAAAATTATTTTTGATTCTTAAAGATACATGATCTTTATACTTTGTGTACAATATATATTTACGTAATATTTAGATTGTACTAAATTAGGCTTAAACGTTAGGTAGAAATCAATAGTGGAAAGTTTTATCGAGAATAATAATTTCTGCAATCGTAAAATTCTGTCATAACAATGTATATTACTCGCAAATTACAGTTGAAGAATTATAGTAACCACCACGATACACGAATAAACCGCACGATATAAAAGTAATCGTACGTTTCAGCAAAAATGTATTGAGAAATATAAGGATAAGAAGAAAGAGAAATTTCAACAGTAACAAATGGCCTCGAAGGAATAAAATTTAAACGAAGAACGTTTTCTACGAATTCGTCGACTCGTTAGGCAACATTCGATCCTAAAACGTTACAACACTTATATATATATGTATATATTATTTGCATTTCTATTCACGCGTTACCAACACGTTCAATTTTTCAATCAGAAGAAGAAGAAAAAGAAAAAAAAAAAAAGAAAAAAGAAAAAAAACGAAACAAAATTTATTTGTTAATAAGAAGTCTTCCTAGGTTTAATTCGTGCTAAATACGGTTCCTCGTCAAATATATATCAACATCCGCGAACACGAATGTCCAGTTACCAACTTAACGACCAGTGTTTACCACTTGTAAATGTAAGAGGCAATTAAATATAAATGTCATCGATACCGTATAACATGTCCATCGACGTTATGCGAAATTTCTTTCCCCGTTTCTCGCTCGTACAGGTTGTCGTCCATCACCGATGCCATAGCCACACAGGTCGCCAGAGGTGTAGGATGGCCTCGCCCTTAAACGAGGAAATAAAAAAGAAAAAGAAAAGGGGAATGGGGAGGGAAAGGAGACGAGCAGAGAGGTAGCTCGATGGAATGTTTCGAAGCTGGAAGGTGTAACGGAACCTGTTCTGCTATCCAACGCGTCCCACGCAAGGTCAATACACAGATATCTCGCGCTCAACACGATCAAAGATGCGACACAGATTCCAACCATCATTTTTCCTTCTTTTCCTGGTGGACGAGGAATATCTCAATACAACGCTTCGTGCCGCGAAAGTAATATATCATGCTTGTTAGGAACCGGACAAGGAGTCTTGGTTCTTTTATATATTTACGAGTTTCATTCCCCTATGTTATACAGTCATCTACAAAAATCTTGGGTGAAAAGTAAAGAAACATTGTGAAAAGTAAATTTTTATCTCGACGTTTCTTCGATTTTTAAAGCAATGATGAATCGATTTAATTTTTGTTTTTTTTTTTTTTTTTTTTTATGGAATGTTCAATGTTAATTCTAAAGTGAAATTTTAACAACAACTTTCTTTGAATCAATTTTGAAAGTCTCCTCGGATGATTGTATGTATATCGCGTGCATAATACATGTGTATATTTTATTTTGTATTTCATTGGTGTTTTGTTGCATATTGTTTGAAAATATTGTCGAACGAATGATAATCAAGTTAATAGTTGCAATTTGTTTCATTGATTTTACGACTCTTTTATTATTGTTTGTTATTTACATACATGTAAATGGTAAATTCGAAATTACACGTGTAATTATTTATAACGTTATTAGAAGTACAAGTAGGTTACGTGTATTTACCAAGATTTATAAGTTATATCTTTAACTATTAACTATACGTGTTAAATAATGATAATAATAATGGTAACATCTCTGAACAGTTAAGAATATCTGTATATTAATGTTAAATTTCTGTGAAATAACTACGTTATAATAATTACGTTAAAACCTGCAAGCATATGACAAATGTAAGTGAACTTGATATTTATTGAGTAAATAATCTTTGTACGATTTGATTAATATAATCTTCGTACAAACAGTAAGTACGAATACTGGAAAGAAAATTAAATTATTAAATAAGTTGAGTTCTCTCTCAAACATTTATACGAATATTTCGTTTAATAACTTAAAAAGCAGTTTTATGCATACATAGCACATATATATAATATTATATTAATTCTTTCATCAATTTTCTTCTCCAAGTGATAAATAATTTCGAATGATGAATAATATTCAATAATAAATTGAAGAATTCTAAACTGCAAGCAATTGGATTAACATATACAAGAAATACAAAAGAAATTTACTTTTAATTTCAGAAAACTTTAATTTTACTAGATTTATTGAGAATTAATTGGAAATAAAAATTCATATCGATGTTCATGTATTATTATAAAGTATCTAAATAAATTCTTCTTTCAATATGAAAAACAATTTTGTTACCTTACCTTTTTTTCGTATCTCGAATACCATCACTTTCTTTTACGTTTATACTTTACTTTTATAAATATTTTTGTTCGATAGTACACTTCTCATACTTCTCATAAAAAAATATACGTGATACCACAAATTGTATACCAGCATATCCAACGGAGCTAAACTCCATACAATTTTCAACAGCATCATTCGTCTCGAAACCTGTATACAAGCATAGGATCAAGAAGATTAAAAAAAAAAAAAAAAAAAAGGGAGAAGGAAAAAAGGAAGCGGATTATGGTTTTCTAGACACGCCGGTTTCATGTTATTTTAACTGTTTATAAAGTCGCTTATTCAATCGCATGCCGCGGTAAGTGGTATGCAGAATACAGGTTTCGCGAGGTGGAAAGAAAGGCGAACACTCAACTGGTTTACCGGGTGAGGTATGTGGAAAATAAGGCCGAATAATAAAGGAAATAAAAAAGAAAAACCATCCGATGTTATGGGATTAACCGATCGCCGATACTCGTTCATCTCACGAATTCGTGATTTAAACGGGGGGGGAAAAAAAAGAAAAAAATTGATATTTACAGTTCTGGGAATTTTCCAAGCCACAAATCAACTTCGCAACTCGTTCTTTCTTTCTTTTGTTTCTTTCTCGTCCGATAACGTGCACGAATACGTATAATCGATGGTAAATTTTTCATGACACGTGTATCGCGTGAGCCGAGGGTAAATTTGGGTATGAATATTCGTGGAGGGAAAATATACAAAAAATATGTATCGACAGTCGATACGTGATCACCGTACGATTCGAGGGGGTTGCATGGAACGAGCGCGTTTCCCGTCCACCCGCCGAGGATACTTTTCCTTCCTTCCTTTCTTCTTCGAAAAGCGAATTCCACGATCGATTTCTACTCATTTGAATACACAGATATTCGGAATTAGCGTGACATTATTTCGCTTTCTCGGATAACTGTTACTTATCAGGCAGGTAGATAAATCAGGTGGAATAATTACTTGTGGAGGAATAAGTTTGCGAAGAAAGCAAGAGAGAGAGAGAGAGAGAGAGAGAGAGAGAGAGAGAGAGAGAGAGA